TAGAAATCATGTCCGCCAGCGTTTTGTTCAGCCTTTCTGTTAAGCCGTTACTCTGGGGGTGGTATGCGGTTGTCTTGCGGTGGTTCGTGTAACTGAGCTTGAAGATGTCGTCCAACAGTTTTGCCGTAAACGCTGTCCCTCGGTCAGTGATGATGAATGACGGGGCACCGTGACGAAGCACAATGTGGTGCATGAAAAACTGGGCGACTTCAGATGCTGTACCGCGTGGCAATGGCTTCGTTTCAGCATAACGCGTCAAGTAATCAGTTGCGACGATGATCCACTTGTTTCCGGAGTGAGACATAGGAAACGGTCCAAGAAGGTCCATCCCAACTTGGTCAAACGGCGTACAAGGTGGATCGATGGGTTGTAAGAGGCCTGCAGGCTTCACAGGTGGTGACTTGCGACGCTGACATTCGCGGCATCCTTTCACGTAGCGTTTGACACAAGCTGCGAGTTTTGGCCAGAAATATAGCTTTCGAACCCGGTCGAGTGTCCGTGAGTATCCCAGGTGGCCGGATGTCGGCTCATCGTGGCAGGCTAATAGGATGTCATCACGAAGGTCATGAGGGACGACTAGAAGATAAGATCTGCTGCCAACACCAGTGTTTTTCTCGTATAATATGTCGTGTCGTAAGCAAAATGACGGCAACGTACGGGAAAGGGAACGAGGAACAGACGCGGTGCTGCCTTCTAAATGATCGATGATGGGTCTTAACTCGGGGTCCGCTCGTTGCTTACTAAGGAGGTCCGCCCCACTGAGAGTCCCCAGAAAGGTGCTGTCGTCTTCTACAGCTGTATGGTCGGACTCCAGAGGTGCTCGTGATAGCGTGTCGGCGTCTTCATGCTTTCTACCCGACTTGTATACAATGGTGATATCGAACTCCTGAAGTCGCAGACTCCATCGTGCTAATCGCCCAGAGGGGTCTCGGAGGTTAGCCAACCAACATAAAGCGTGGTGATCCGTCACAACTTTAAATGGGCGCCCATAGAGATAAGGCCTGAACTTTGTAATCGCCCATATTACCGCGAGACATTCCTTCTCTGACGTTGAATAGTTGGTTTCGGCACGTGATAAAGTGCGGCTCGCATAGGCGATCACACGTTCGGTCCCATCTTGTATTTACACCAAGATAGCTCCGAGACCAATGTTGCTTGCGTCAGTACGCACCTCTGTGTCAGCGTCCTCATCGAAATGACCGAGTAAAGGAGGGGAACACAATCGATGTTGCAGTTCCGCAAAGGCAGTCGCTTGTTCGTCAGTCCACTGAAATGGGGTGTCGTCACGCGTAAGTCTGATGAGAGGCTCCGCAACCTTAGAGAAGTTTTCAATAAAACGGCGATAGTAGGCGCAGAGCCCCAGAAATCGCCGAAGACTTTTTTTGTCTGTCGGAGCTGGAAAAGAGGCCACAGCGGCAGTCTTCTCGGGATCGGGCCGAACGCCTGCAGCGCTCACAACGTGACCGAGGAACTTCAGCTCATTGTAGCCGCAATGGCACTTCTCTGGCTTGAGGGTAAGGTCAGCGGATCGTATGGCTTCAAAAACACTCCGAAGGCGATGAAGGTGCTCGTCAAACGTTTTTGAAAAGACAACGACATCATCTAGATAGACGAGGCAACTTTTCCACTTGAGGTCAGCGAGAACGGTATCCATCATTCGTTGGAATGTGGCCGGAGCGGAACAGAGGCCGAATGGGAGCACTCGGAACTCATACAGGCCGTCAGGAGTTACAAAAGCTGTTTTTTCGCGGTCACGTTCATCGACTTCAATTTGCCAATAACCACTTTTGAGGTCGATTGAGGAAAAGTACTTTGCTCGCCTCAGCCTGTCAAGAGAATCGTCCACTCGAGGCAACGGGTACACGTCTTTCTTTGTGACGTTATTCAGCTTCCTATAATCGACACAAAAGCGAAGTGTACCATCCTTCTTCTTTACAAGGACCACTGGCGATGACCAAGGGCTACTTGATGGCTGTATTACACCGTCTTGAAGCATTTCCTTCACTTGCTTTTGAATCGCGCGTCGTTCGGTTGGTGAAACGCGGTAAGGCTGTTGCCGTATAGGGTGCGCGTCGCCGTAGGTGATAATACGGTGTTTGGTAATCGATGTTTGGCGGATTCTCGATGAACGTGCAAAACAGGCGTGGAATTCTATCAACAGGTCGTTAAGCCTTCGTTTGTTTTCGTCAGAAAGCGCTGGATTTATGTTGACGCCCCGGAGAGGTGCTTCGGTATTATCGGTTGCCTCGGAAGCAAAACACTCAGTCACATTAGTTACTGGGTAGGCATAGGCGATGACAGTACCAGGGAAAAGGTGTCGGCGCTCGTAGCTGAAGTTCGTAACAAGTAACTCGCAATGGCCATCCTGAAGGTCTACTAGGCTTCGTGCTACGCAGACACTTTGGGAAAAGAGCAGGGATCGATTGCTCTCCGCCACCATTTCACCGTGTGCTGATTTGTTACCAGCCACTTGAACCATAACACTTGAGCGCGGTGGTATCGTCACAGCATCGTCAATTACCCGCAGACATACTCGATCGTGGTCGGGATTATGCTCTGGTGTGGCGCTTTTTGTTGAGAACGTGACGAGGCGTTGTCGAATGTCGATGATAGCACCGTGCTCCCTCAGGAAGTCCATGCCAATGATCAGGTCTCGAGAACACTGACGGAGAACGCTCAAGCTGATAACAAAGGTTGAACCACGAATCTGTATTCGTGCTGTGCAAACGCCCAGTGGCATGACGATGTGCCCGCCAGCAGTACGAATTGGCTTGAGGTTCCAAGGCATCGTCACTTTCTTTAGAAGAGCAGCCTGTTTTTCACTTATTATAGAAAAATCCGCACCCGTGTCGACTAAAGCAGTGACTTTGCGACCGTCGAGCAGCACTGGAATATCTAATGAAACCTTTTCGGAACCAGCTGGTGTCGTCGTCGTCGGGGAATCGTCCTTTTGCGGAAGCGTCGGTAGGAGGCCTTGAGCTTGTCCAGTATGAGCGGCCTCGCCCCCGAAGGTCGCTGTGGTTAGTTTTCCCGGCGCGGACTGGGGGACCGACCCTGCGCCACGCTCGAATAGGTGCGGCGATTAGGAGAAAATCGCCGCGGTGACGGGGAGCGTGACTGGTGCAAGGATGACGAAGTTCCGCGCTGTTGAGCCACATACTCTTCAATATCAGGGGGCCGCTGACCGAACCTGGGTGGTGGTGAGTTCGTCGAAAATCCACGTAGTCCAAGTTGCCGGTAAGAACAGTGTCGGTAAAGATGCCCAGCTTCGCCACAGTGGAAGCAGAGAGGACGTCGATCAGGCGCACGCCAGACGTCTGATTTTCGCGGGATCGGGCGAGGTGTGCTGTAATATGGCGCCGCTTGGACCGTCTGCAGCATGGCTGGGGCCACGGTGGGATGCGGGATTGCGGGTGTTACAGGTTGCTGCAAAGCTTGAGCATACGACATGCGGGGGAAGTCACCGGGTGGTTGATAATCCCGCATGCAAGATGGTTCTCTTAAAGCATGCTGGACTTCATCTCGGACAACGCTGGAGAACGAAGAGGTAGGGGGCTGCGAGGGCACTGACAGCTTCTGGAGTTCTTCGCGGATGACTGAACGTATGAGCTCTCGGAAAAAATCCATTTGGCCACCGAAAGCTCCAAAGTAGTCCGTAGTTGAAGCATTGACGTGCCGCTCGTATGACGGGGCCCGGTGCCTAAGGGTGCTTTCGATGGTGACAGCTTCCGTGAGAAATTCTGACACAGTCTTGGGTGGACTGCGTACAAGCCCACCGAAAAGTTGCTCTTTCACCCCGCGCATGAGGTACCGTACCTTCTTTTCTTCTGGCATGCCGGGGTCAGCTCGGTGGAAGAGGCGCGTCATTTTCTCGACATACATCGCAACCCCTTCATTTGGTAGTTGTATGCGGGACTGCAGATCGCGCTCAGCTCTCTCCCGACGGTCAGGGCTTGCATATGTCGCAAGAAGTCGGCGTTTGAAGTCTTCCCATGATGTAAGAATACATGCCCGGTTCTCGTACCAGACACGTGCGCCGTCCAAAAGACTGAAATAGACGTGCCGCAGTTTGTCTGCGTCGTCCCACTGGTTGTGCACGGCAACGAACTCGTAATGAACGAGCCAATCTTCCACATCCTCAAGAGCAGTGCCATGAAAAGGATTTGGCGTTCGCGGTGTCAGTAAGGTGCAATGGAGTGGCGTTGTGCCGTTCGTACCGGTTGGGTTGGTGTCGGCATGGCTGGTCGGGGCTGCCATGTTGTTTGCGAGCAGTCCAAACTCAGGGGATTGCCCTCGGATCCTTCTGCTGGTGCGGTGCACAGGAGTGACCACCGGTACGACGCTTGTGTTCCTGGTATGTGGAGGGGTACGGTGCATAGATTACCCAGCACTTCCACCAGTTTGTCACGTACCAAAGGCCGTAGAGAAGGGACAGGAACAGCGGGGCAGAAAGACACGAGCGTGTATCTTCGAAACGAGGCGCTAACCACACTTCTTCTTCGTTCTCCTTGCCCTTTTCGGCTCGCTAGGGCTTGCCGGCTCACAACTCTAGGTGGCAATATATATATATATATATATATATATATATATATATATATATATATATATATATATATATATATATATATATATATATATTGGCGTACAGATACGAACGAGCATAGATAGACTTAGCAGAAGGGGGAGGGGGGTACTGCCATGAACCTTCACCTCTCCCTCCTGATGGGTGGGGAACTTTGTGCCCGCCTATGCATGCAAGTACAATTAGCCTACACCCCCCCCCACCCCCCACCCCTCATACCTACACGCGCTACGGTAATCGAAAAGTTTTCTTGTTGGAGCGTTGGCTCCTGCCACACCCCGTGTTCGGAGTAATTTTTTTTTTATATTATAAGGGCACAGTTCAAGAAACGATTGATTGAAGCCGAATCCGCTGTTGCTCGCTATAATGTTCCTGACTGTACAATGACAGAGAGGTTCCGCTATATGGAGTCACGCACTCTGCTTGAGGGCGTCGAACGCCGTCTCGTAGAGGAGCACGCCGTCGGTGCGCCGCACCTGCAGGCTGAGCCTCTGCCGCGTCAGGTCGGTCCAGGCGACGAACTTCTCCCGCCTCAGGTCGAGCAGGTTGTCGCGGCACGCGCGGTGGCAGCCGTCGGTCGAGCTGCACAGCCTCACGTTGAGCAGCTGCTCGGTCTCGTTGCCCAGTCGCCACTCGAGGCCCACCATGAAGGACGAGTACGCGGACGCCCGGAAACGAAGCTCTGCGGTGTCATCGACGATGAACGACACTGTTTGCGGACGGAGGGACAAGCGACTTCTAATAATATGGTACCATATACACTCTAAGAAGTCCCGACTTGCCACATATGAACGTGAAACTATATCTCTCTGTAGAGATAAATGCTAACCCTCTTTTGGAGATCATTATACTCCCTTCGGGGAGGAATGGGAGGTACGTGACTCCAGAATGGATTTAGCGTGTATCCCGACAGAGAGTTTTATATGTCGCGAGGCAGGACTCACTCGCTCCTTAAAGGGTTCGCACCCTAACGAATCGAATAAATCGAGCCCCTAATATATGCAGCCTCATTGGACGAGAGCTGCAACGTCAACGCTAACAGTCTTTCACCGGGTGCAATTTCGCCCGCTAACGTGGCAGAAAACTTCCCGGTGTGAATTTGCCTACAAAAACAAGTCCGTGCACGCTAAACCCCCCCTCAATTATTAAGGTGAACTATTTAGATGCCTCGCCAAACGCGAAAGACGACCGTCGGCGTAAACGCATGTGATGCCAAAAATCATCACGTGATAACGGCCCACTATGACGTGGCAAGCGGACAAATTTGTGACGTCATTATGACGTCAAGTACTGTGGTCAAATGGGATGATGACGACGTTATTGCAAAAGCAGATTAGGTGCAGAACACTCGCGATGCCTCGGAGCATGAACTTTCAGGGACTGTAGGGTAAAGATCAATACATAGACTAAAAATAAATTGGCCGCTCTTTTGCCGTGCTTCGCTGTTGTCGAAATACAATAATCCGTCTGGAGGCACGGGGTGGGATATAGACGCCATCTGGCAGTAATGTCGGGAAACAGAAGCTTGTGCAGAACGCAGGGTCACTGGCAGCTGGCAGTATAGCGCAACGTCGGCACAGCGAGTTCTCGTGCATAGGGTCGCATTTTCAGTACAGCGAAAGAAACACTAGGGTCTTTAGAATTGCGTATTTCTGCATGTTATAATAAAGGAACAGACCACTTCATACCTAGATATTGATGTTGCGCCTCAGATATGCGAAATATTTACCATTTGACCAATTCAATGATCTCAAGTATGAACGCCGCCACTAGACCAAGATGGCTGGGCGTCGAGCAAATGCCTAAACTTTCGCCGGGTGGCTGAAACATGTGACAGACAGACAGGCATTCCTGCGTTCAAGTATTCCAACAAAGGAGATCGTCGTTAACAACAGACGATAATTTTCGCCTTCCATGTTGACTTAGGTGAAAACACATAACAGACCCTTGCGAGTTATAATTAATTGGACGAGCAGCTCACCCGAATCGAGCGTCCATGTGCGGGTGCAGAGGGCGAAGCCGTCGTAACCGGACGCGGACAGTGGATTCTCGTCAATGGCGCAGAAGGCGTACGTGACGCCCGCATTAAGTCCGGTCACGACCGACGGCTGCGACGCGAGCTGGCGGCTGCAGCGCAGTCCCGACCCTTCGGGCGCCGTGCAGTTGCCGAAGTCCGAGAGGTCGCACCTGGATTCCCTCTGGTACGGGATGCAGTCGAAGAAGCTCAGACCCTTCTGGAACTGCTTGGCCGTGGCGTGGCACAGGCAGAAGCGGTTGCCGCTATCCGGCAGCCAGTCGATCTGCGCAGACAGCCGAAGGTGCAAGTCAGAATAAGCATTTACCGACAGACCACCTTTAGTAGGTTTTCTGGAACATGCCCTCTGGCGTTCTGGTTGGAGCAGATTTTCCTGCCACTTTGGAGCAAATGGTAGGTCAACCACGTGTAACCGCTTCGCTTCACACAAACTCCAACACTTTCTTTTTTTGCCTCATGTCACTCCCGATAATATCACTATCCATAACCACCGTGCACTAACACGCGGATATAGTAAACACTTCTGGCGAGGCAGGATTACCGCTCGAAGAAAGTCTTTCGACCTAATCAAGAGCTGTCTCGACACGCATATTTGTCGTTGATAGAGATGATGTGTACGCACCTTAAACGACGTTGTATTCGCCCAAATTTGGGATATGCGAACAGCCCGGGAAAGACGGCCGTGGAGCACAACCTACGACCACATCGGAAAACCGTGAGTCAGCACAGATACTTTCTTTGGCGTGCACGGCACGCGTTTTCCCATCGTACGATGCACAGTACGTCATTCCGTTAGCTAAGTGTTCTACACTTTGTATTTTCCAAGGTGTCATGCAGTGATGGCATGTCACGTACCAGGCAAGCGTAGATTACGATAACCGGGAACCGAGCCGCCATGACGGAAGAGATCGCTTTTGTTGACGGCTACGCGGACGAAGAGAGCTGCACAAAATTGAAAAAAAGAAAAAAAAAGAAAAAGACTTCAAACAAGTGCAGTCACTTCACTAGATTATGCTTCTGGGTTCACATGCACAAGGCAAGTTTAACCACAGGAACGATTCTCCGCGTGCAACAACAACGATGACGACGACTACAACAACAGCAGAAGCAATAACGACAACAACGACTAGGTAACGAAAATCGGCGTGAACCAGAGGACACAAAACAGAGACAGACGAAGCGCTTGGTACGTCTCTGTTCTTTGTCCTATGGTTCGCGCTGTTTCTCTATTCTTTGAGCACACACCAACCGGCCAAAATGAGCCATCTAGAACAGGAACGAGAGAAAGGTGGGATCTTAGCCTCACTTAGTCTAACTCGTTTTCACTGTTTTTGCAAATATTGAGTAGCATACATGTCCAAGTTTTTAAAACAATTTTCGCACGCAAGGTAACGAAGTATTGCAGAGCAAAACGATATATATATGTCTTATATGCCCAGGCTTAATTCTGCGTGGAGGCTGATTTAACTTGAGCACCCCGAGAGGCGGATAGAATCAGGCGAGTCATTGTTCTGTTCCGAAGTTAAACTGTGTGTGGTTCATCCCACCAGTATAATACGTGATAAGGACAGAATGCAGCTGGTCATTGGGGCTGCCTAATGTCTTTGGGGGAGGAGGAGAGAAGGGAGGTAAAAACTTTCACCCTCTCCTTTCGCCTTCATCCCCAGTATCTGATTATTACCTTTAGGACAAAACCTACAAATTTTGCAAAAAAAACAATCGTCACAGTTTGCTTCACTGCAGTAAACATAGTAATGTGGAAAAGCCGAGCTACCAGCGGTGCTCTTTACTGATCAATCGAATTCAACTCTGCACAGTCACTCAAAGTTCTAATAATTGTGCGGAGCAACAATACTTCTTTTTGTCAGTGCCATATTACAGAACAATATCACAAAAAATGTTTTGTGGGTGAGCACTTGTCCTTGTCCGCATATCGCACCCACCGAAATGCGGCCATCGTGGTCGGTATCGAACTCGTGACCTTTGGATAAGCAGCCGAGCACCCTAGCCACATCTTTACAACGGCGAAATAATGCTGTATTTGTACACATAATTTTAAGGAATAAGTTGAGAGGATGAGATATAATCTTTAGGAACGTTAGGCAAGGCGAGAAAGAAACCACTCCCGCATCTTTGAGCTTGGTTTGTTGAGCGGCCCTTCAAACAACATGGTCGAAGGTTGGCTCACGCTTGCACAAGCACTGACGTATTAATTTGCGGACCCTCAACCTTATGCTTCACTGAGGCCCGTTTGCTCAGATTTTGGTGCACGTTAAAGAATTCCAGGTGGTCGAAACTTCCGGAGCCCTCCACTACGGCGTCTCTTGTAATCATATGGTGGTTTTGGGACGTTAAACCCCAAATATCAATCAATCAACCTTATGCTTCGGTCCTCTTGTATCAGTGGTATCTGTACGCTTTTCTACTACGACGATATGAACTGTCTCAACTTTCTCTGTCGTTCCGACGAGTACCACACGTGGCGTACCTTGATCTCTCGCTGGTGTCCCTTCACGACGGGCAGTCGATTTTGCTCTGCTGCTGCGCCGTCCGTACACCCAGCAGCGCGGGTCGCAAGTGTCAAGCGCAGCGCATGGTCATGCACGGCTGGCACGCGGTGTGAACGCCGGGGACGCAGAGGCGTAACTGTGCGCATGCGCGGAGAATGGCGTCTCACGATACGCGGGGCTCTCGTCGCCTCATCGCACGACGCCGGCCGTTCTCGATGATGTCCGTCTCTATGTTGTCCTGTTTGCTCGTTTGTGCATTGTATTTCTCGGCTCCGACCCACTACGGAGGACTGGCCACCACAAATAGGGTAACTAATATTCAAGATATATATAAAAACGATAAGTTGTAATTTTTATTAGTGGGGATACCTTTATCGGAAATGTGTATTTGAATTTGTCCATGTGAGGAATTCTTGTAACGTCATCGTGATTTTCGCATGGCTGTTGTAAAAGTAATTGTATATAATAATAATAATAATAATAATTGATGAGGTTAAAGTCCCAAAAACACATGATAATGATAGACGCCGTAGTGGGGTGGGGGGGGGGAGGGCTCCGGAAATTTTAGATGCGGAAGCATCTTATACTCGCGCCTTGTAGTGCGCCGTCCGCGCCGTCCGCACCGCTTCTCGAACATTCGACAGCTGACGCGCGCGCATGCGCCGTCGCGCCGTCGCCCACTCTTCCACCATCTGTGCATCCCTTCCTCCTCTACACACCGCGCGCGCTTCACTCCTCCACCATCTGTGCACCCTTCCTCCTCTACACACCGCGTTCGACATCTACAATTCTCCTGATTCTCCAGTGGACGCGCATGTGGCGTCGCGCTTCGAGAACATTCAACAGCTGACAGTGCATGCGCCGTCGCGCTGTATATATACTCAAGGTCGGCGCTCGCTCGCTCAGTTGCCGCTCGTCGGTTGGTTTGTACGGCGCGTCGACGTCCAAGGTCGCGGTGAAATGAATTCCAACGAATCCACAAACACAATGATCGACGTCCCTTCGACCAGCGCCGCCCTTTCGCATACGTGTGTACGTGTTCACTCATTTAACACCCCCTCCTACAACCACGTTAACCAATTTAGCCATCGACCCAAGTAAGTCGCAATTTAACACCCCATTTCACAACCACGTTAACCAATTTAGCCATCGACCCAAGTAAGTCGCACTTTAACACCCCGTTAACCAAATATATGCTCCGCATCCTCCTCAGTGTTCCCCCGAGGGAAGCTGCGGGCAATTTTTTTACCTGAGTTTCTTTCACGTGCCCTTAAATCTAAGCACACCGGCTTCTAGCATTTCCGCCTGTATCGAAAATGCAGTCGGGATTCAATATCACGATTTGCGGGTCAGCAGCCGAGTGCCTTAGCCACTAGACCCCCACGGCTGGTTTAAATAAAGGCGAAGGCTTTCCAAAGAAATTGTTGGAAGTTCAGCGCTTTGTGACTTCTCTTCTGGCCCCTCCTGTCGGTATAGCGTTGATTTACACTCACATGATAGATAGATAGATAGATAGATAGATAGATAGATAGATAGATAGATAGATAGATAGATAGATAGATAGATAGATAGATAGATAGATAGATAGATAGATAGATAGATAGATAGATAGATAGATAGATAGATAGATAGATAGATTCCAGAATGCACAATTTCTGCGAGATAACCACGTCATGTTTTTTGATTGATATGTGGGGTTTAACGTCCCAAAACCACCATATGATTATGAGAAACGCCGTAGTGGAGGGCTCCGGAAATTTTGACCACCTGGGGTTCTTTAACGTGCACCCAAATCTGAGCACACGGGCCTACAACATTTCCGCTTCCATCGGAAATGCAGCCGCCGCAGCCGGGATTCGAACCCGCGACCTGCGGGTCAGCAGCCGAGTACCTTAGCCACTAGACCACCGCGGCGGGGCCCCACGTCATGTCGCAGCAAATCTCACCTCTAAATAAAATGTTGGCTCTGACGCATACGTTCGAGTCGAAATTACGCCGATATGACCTGGACTGAAGACCGTTCCAACGAAATTGTGTGCATTACTTATTCCTAAATTGTCCGTTTCAATCCATGAGTACTCTACAGCTAAATACAGCAAGTACTGCGTTGATAGGGGGCAAGCAGCCTGAAATTTGTGGGGGTGCCTCCTGTAAAGTTGTTTGCGCTGGTGGCGCACGTGTCTCGCCCAAAAGCCGCATTTCGGGCTGCAACCACCGGGTGGTAGGTAACGTTGTGTACACGAGCGGCGATCACGGCTATCATCATCATGGTGTAGCGCCAGCGACGACCCCTGGCGGAAGGCAAGCCTTGGTAGCGCGCGAGAGTTGAGCGAGTCTCTTCTGCGCGTGGCGGTTGCCGCAAACGGTTGTCTCTAGCGTGGGTCCCCGGTGCATGGCACCGCGGGTTGCGCGTCGGGGGCCCTCGTGGTAAGTCAAGCGTTGACGCCGCCGCCTTGGGTGTGTTATTGTGTTTGTCATGTTTTGGAGTGTATGGTAATATTGTGTAAGGATGTCTTAGCGGGTTGATCACGATTGATGTTATTATAATTCGGCGGACGATATCGTCGTTCTAAAATTAGTTGAATAAATGTGCGTATCGTTTTGGTTTGTTCCGAACGCGTCTGCTGCGCCCGTTCACTCCAAGAGCGTTGTACTCGCTCGCCGATTCGAAACCTTACAAGTCGTCCAGCGTAATATCGTTTAAAAGCGTGTAAAAAAGAAAGTTACTGCTCTCGACTTATGTCACGTGACTTCACTTCACTGTGTAACGCAGCACCTTGAGATCCATGCACCTGCGTTGTGAAAGCGCTCAGCGTTGCCAGTTACTCCCAATGCACCGGTGATGCCATTACGGTGGCAGGTGTACCTTTACCGTGCCGTGGAAAATGGCCAGACAAAAGGTTGCGGTCTTGTGTGCGTCCTTTCGCATCTTCTGTGCTGTCTGCACTCTTCTGCTGCGCCAAGATGGACGTAAGTGCGGCCTTCGTTGTTTTTTCCCCATAACCTTTCTGTTTGTCGCACTCGCCTGGATCCGGTTATGGCTATCCATGAGTTGTTAGGTAGGATCGGTGAAGATCTACGTGGTCTTTTAGGCAGTATACCTGCATGCAGAAGTCTAAGCAAAGAACCACCGAGACATCTTCTATAGTGCTATGGCACTGTATGCATTCATAACGCAACCAAGCAGACTCCGTTTCATACGCAAGCTACAAATCATGTGCAGGCTAGCGAGACATGTTTCCGTTGATGCGTCTTGGTTTCCGATTTTGGTGCTTGATTTGCGGGTTGTCACGATATCTCGCGCGCACGCTCATGCTTGGCTCGCGCGAGTGTTGCATAGCTTCTGCAGCGTTGCATCTGATGTATGGAAGTGTACCCGGAAATCCC